ATGCGATGCATAATAACCACATCATGGAGAATGGGGTATCTATCCCCTCAAGCATTTATCCTTTGTGTTACAAACAATCCGATTATACTCTTTTTTTTTTTTTTTGAGACGGGATCTTGCTCTGTTGCCCAAATTGAAGTGGAGCAGTGCAATCCCAGCTCACTGCAACCTCCGCCTTCCAAGTTCAAGCGATTCTCATGCATCAGACTCCCGAGTAGCTGGAACTACAGGCATACACCACCACAACCGACTAATTTTTGTATTTTTAGTGAAGACAGGGTTTCGCCATTTTGGCCAGGCTGGTCTTGAACTCCTGACTTCAGGTGATCTACCACTTCGGCCTCCCAAAATGCTGAGATTACAGGTGTGAGCCACTGCACCTAGCCCAATTATATTCTTATAGTTATTTTTAAATGTACAATAAATTCTATAATCACTCTACTGTGATAGCAAGATCTTAGTCACTCTATTTTTTTTTGTACCCATCAACCATCCCCAGTTCCCCTTCACCGCACAACAACCCTTCCTAGCCTCTGGTAACCATTCTTCTACTTTCTATCTCCATAGCTTCAATTATTTTGACTTTCAACTCCCACAAATAAGTGTATATTCTAGCTTCAAATCTCTGTCTCCCAACTGCACCACTGATAGGTTAATAATCTGTAACAAAAACTCAACAGTACTTAAATTAACAAACTACTTCTAGAAATCTTTTACAGAAGATGAAGTTCTTCAGAAATAAATAACCAAATCCTAATTCAACTGTTCCCATAAAAATATTTTTAGTAAAAATAGTAACTATATAGAAGTATATAACTGACTTCCATTTTTCATTTTAACTGGATATGGGTCACACACACACGCTCATACTCAATTTAGTCTTCTGCAGTTATCTGCACTATTGATAATAACAACCTTAAATCTACAACTAAACTCTTTAGCCAGTAGAGAAACAAGCAGAAAGTTCATTCAGGCAGCAGGTCCCAATACACACACACACACACACACACACACACACACACACACACACTCTTTCATACACATACACAATTTAGTCTTCTGCAATTATCTGCACTACTGATAATAACAACCTTAAATCTATAACTAAACTCTTTAGCCAGTAGAGAAACAGGCAGGAAGTTCAGGCAGCAGGTCCCCACACAACCCCATCTCACTGCAGGCTGAAATCAAACAGATGAGTTTCTAAGATTCCAGGAAGCTCAAATTCCAAAGAAATGCTCTAATGGTTACTGTAATAATACTTCAAGAAAAAGAGAGGATGGGCTGGGCACAGTGGCTTACGCCTGTAATTCCAGAACTTTGGGAGGCTGAGGCAGGAGGATTGCTTGAGCCCAGGAGTTCAAGACAGCCTGGCAAACATGGCAAAACTCTGTTTCTACAAAAAATGCAAAAATTAGCCAGGTGTGGTGGTGTGCCCCTGTAGTCCCAGCTACTTGAGAGGCTGAGGTGGAAGAATGGCTTGAGCCCAGGAGGCAGAAGTTGCAGTGAGCCGAGATAGTGCTACTGTACTCCAGCCTGGGTGATAGAGCCAGACTTAACTTTCAAAAGGTAAGGTAAAGAAAGAAAACAAGACAGCAGAAAAAAGAAAAGTCAGTGGACAAAAAGCATGTGGGCAGATAAAATACTAAGCTCTCAACCTGTTCATTCACCCAGTCAACATGCATTTATTGACCAATGGTAATTTTGTCACTGTGCATCAGAATCACCTGAGGAGATGATCTCAACTGGTCTTAAGGGGCACGAGGCCAGAGTGGGAAATTTAAAAGCTTCTCAGTTGATTATAATGCATGTCAGAGTTTAGAACCATGGACTAATTTTGAAACTATGCTAAGCCAAAAGTAGCAGCCAGAAATGTGATGGTGAGAAGCAGTGTGGTAGGAGTCAGCTTGTTATCTAGTTTACCAAGTAACTTAACCTCTTTGAGATGTTTCCTCAAATGTAAACCAGCAGTATTAATATCTACTTTCTTCAGTCAACAAATACAAATGAACAAACGGATAAAAATCACTACATTCATGAAGTTTATATTTCAGTGGGGATACACATATGAACACTGTAAGGCTTTGATTTATATTCTGTGTGCAGGTTTTTGAGCTTGATCTTTCTTGGCTCTTGCTTAATATTTTCAGCAAAAGGCATTTAAGATTTATCCATGTTGATACATAAATCAATAGTTCAACCCTTATTATTACTGAATAGTATTCCACTGTATGGGCATACCACTAGTGGTTTAATCATTCACTTATTGAAGGATAACTTGGTTGTTTCCAGCTGGGGCAATTATTAAGGCTGCCATAACATTCATATATAGGCTTTAAATGAACATAAATTTTAATTTCTCTTGAGTAAAGATCCAAGAGTGGAACTGCTGGGATATGTACTAAGTCACATGTTTAACTTTATAAGAAACCACCAAATTGGTTTTCAGAGCAAATGTACCAGGATTCAGAGCATTCAGAGTTATTCTGAACCCTGGTCAGCATTTAGAATTGTCAGTTTCTAGTTAGTGGGATTTTTTTTTCTTTTTTGGTAGCCATTACAATGGATGTGTAGCAGTATTGTACAGTGGTTTTCATTTTCATTTCCCTAATGATGAATGATGTTGAACATGCTTTCATGCTTATCTGCCATGCATACATCTTGATTTGTAAAGTGTCTGTTTAAATAATCTTTTGCCCATTTTTAAGATGAAATTGAATTTGAGATCCAAATAGATGCTACAAAAAGTCCTTTGTTAGAAATGTAATTTGCAAATATTTCACTTTGAGCAAATTTGTATGTAAGGTATTTTGCACATAGACATCCAATAGTTTCAGCACCATTTGTTGAAAAGATTTTCCCTTCTCCATTGAGTTGCCTTTGTATCTTCGTAAAAAGCCAATTGACTGTGTTCTATTTTTCTGTGTGTCTCTCTTTTTAGCAATACTATATTGTCTTGATTACTGGGAGAACAAACATTTTAACCATACTAAGTCTCCTAATCCATGAACATGGTATTTCTATTTATGTCTTCTGTAATTGATTTTCAATGACAGTTCTGTAGTTTGTATCATACAAATGGTACACATATTTGTTAGATTTATACCTAAGTATTTCTTTTTTGGGGGTGCTATCATGAATGGTGCTTTAGAAAATGTCAAATGCCAAGAGTTCATATCTAGAACACAGAAATACAATTGAATTTGTATATTGACCCCATATTCTGAAAATGTAATAAATTCACTTATTAGTTCTAGGTTTTTTCTTTTTCACGGATTTTTTGGGATTGTCTAAAGTAGATTTGTATTATCCATGAATGGTGGCAGTTCCCCCCCTCCCTTTTTTTTTTTTGAGACGGAGTCTTGCTCTGTCGCCCAGTATGGAGTGCAGTAGCACAATCTCGGCTCACTGCAAGCTCCATCTCCCAGGTTCAGGCCATTCTCCTGCTTCAGCCTCCCGAGTAGCTGGGACTAA